TGCACATTGGGAGGAAGCACAAAATGGAGTCAAGTGACATTTTAGGCGTTTCAGTCCCAGGTCACGTCTTGAGAAAATTGCTGAAATAATGGAGGGGGCATTTTTCAAGCAGAGCTGCAGCTCCAACAGCTCTGTTTACTTTAACGCTTCACTAGTGACTTCTGATTGGTTGTCATGACCTCATCTCACTGTTGCACCTAGAATGTTGCAACAGTGACATAGACATACCCTTTTTGGGAAAAAGATGAGAATAAATACAACATACATCTTTCAGAAAAGATGAATGGACAGTGGTTTGTCCATTTTAACCATGGGTATATGTAGTTTATATGTAGGTAAAATGCTTTGGGTTTCATTTCCCTTGAGGATGAGCACCTTTCTTCTTTCAAACCAAGCAGATAGAATGCTGAACTTGGAAAATATGATTGATCAATCTGTGTAAAATGATCTTTACAGAGCTTTGCCTGAAGACCAAAACAGAGAGTTCCATAGGTCAGAGGATTCTACTCTGGCCCCTGACCTCTTTGGTCACATGTGACTTACAGTATTGGCAGGTTAATATGCAGAGCTGAGTATTTTCACCTGATTTTTTTATTTAGCCAACCATAGGAGATTGGAAAAGATGTAGAATTTTCCCTATTTTCTATTTTCCTTGTAAGTGGTAACTAATAGGCAAATTAACTTGGATAAATCTTCAGTTTCAGCAAGATTTTGTTGGGATCAAAATACATTCTGGCTTTGGTCAGACATGGAAACATTTTATCTATCTGTAGAATCTTCTTGACAAGTACATTTCTATACTGATTTAATTTCTTAAGCAAGGTTTCCTCTTTGGTTCTTGTGTTTGGCATCACCTGTCTGTTTTAGACCTCTGACCTAAGCCATCATTTGTTGATTGAATGATAAATGAATGATTATTTATTAGTAAGTGCATCTATAGACTTAAAAGTAAAGGAGGCCTGCAGGCCTGTGCTTCTATGTAAATCACAGCAAGCCCTTGTGCTGAATAAACTGTATGTCTAGCAATAAAATTTTGAGGGTTTCTGATTAAGATTCCATGGTTTGTTTAGGCCTTATAAACACACTTCTGAAAATGAAACTACAGTTATAGCTACAAAGGATAGAAAATGGAATGAGATAAATGGAAAAGATTATCCTCTTGATCACTTTCTTGATCTTCTACTAGACTGTGCACTCAAACCTAATAGTTAATTAACAACTTTATATATACTTTGTCTCTTCAAATGTTGGATATTAGAATTGATTTGGGTAAATCATTAATCAGGATGCCAGAAGTTTTATTTATTTAGTTGTAGAATGTTAGATAATCAGTTTGATCATTTTGTCTTGTTAAAGATAACAGAAGTTTCCATGTATGTTTGAAATGACCTGCCTTTTCATCTTATGAGAAATTTAGCATGAATAATTAAATATAAAAATAATACTTCAATATAAAACGTTTAAGGTTGTAAGCATTAGTTATGGAGGCCTCATTAGAGTGGCAATGCACGGTTCTTTTATGATATTATATCTTATGCCTGGTTTTACAGAGTTTTGTAAAACTTTATGGGTACATTTGTGATAGGTCAAACTAGGATCTCTTTTTATTTATTTCTTTGTGTATAGATTGAGTTATTGGGAATAGAGAGAATTTTTAAAATGACATTTATTCTGATTTTTTAAGATATAAATTGATATTGCATTTACAATGGCTAAATTTAGCTATTGATATGCTATCTGCCTTGTTTTGCTTTGACTATTTACTTTGATAATCTGGTTTCCATGTATTAATGTTGACATGGCAAAAATCTTTTTAGCTTTAATGTATAAAGAAATTTTTGGACAAATTTATATGTGACAGAGGAAAGGAGGAGAAGACAAAGTTTTACTAGTACCTGTGGTTAGAGCATGTAAGTGGGATAGTTAACTATATTTTGTTTCTCCAGTTTTCTCTTCCTCATTATAAAATGGTTATTAATGGTCTCTGTGAATATCGCATTAATTAATTTATCAGGAAAATTTTAATTGAAAAATATAAGTTTTTCACAGAATGGTAATTGAATTTGTAACAAAGACATTTATTAAAATTAGCTCTCATTTCTGCAGAAAATGTTCCTGAATATTTCTTGATTGTTATTCCATTAATTAAATTGGCAGTATGAAATATCTAAATGATAAAATATTTTCTAAATAATTCAGGTGTTTAAAGAGCAGCATTCATTGTTGAAATCTAAATGCTAAAAATTCTTTAATTGATTTATATACTAGTGATTTAAAAATAGAATCATTTTTCATCAGTTGATGCTTCGGTGAAAAATTGACATTGTGTCTTTATAAAATTGGACAAATGAGTCATGTAATTTTCAGTTACATAATCAATAACTTAGACAAATACTACTTCTTTGATGATTTATGTGTGTCTGTTTTTTATACTTATTTAGATCGGACACATCAAATTTCAGTCCATTTAAAATCAAGTAGGCGCAGTAATTTTTTAATCAATGATTTCCAAAAATTGAAGTAAAAACTTCTGCTCAAATAAATGTGGTATTATGAAAATATTGTATCTAGTGATTAAGTTAAAAATTAAGGGGAAAGTTTTATAATTCTAGTGACTGTAAATTTTATCTAAAGAGTTTACCTTTATTTGGAATTCATTCATGGTGCAAAGGTGGTGCTCACGTTCTGTCAATTTATTAAAGTCCCACTTTGTTACATTGAGTTTGATGTTTTTCATATTATCATTAAAATGTAGCATATCACTACTTTCATCTCTAAAAATTCTAAGATTCTATTTTGGGTTTGCTACTTCTAACTCATATGTGAGTATGAGAGACTGTGTGCATGTGCGTGCGTGTGCGTGTGTGTGTGTGTGTGTGTGTTTAAAGTTCAACTCACTCAGGGAAGGCAGGGAAGAAACATGACAGGAGACCACTTACTCACGGTACAGAATCTAGTAAGGAGGCAATTTTCTTTTTGGCCTATGGTGACCTTTTTTGACTATGTTCCTTACACCAGAGACAGTGTATGAATGCCTCTATTTCACCCTGTTTAGCAGAGTGCAACAGTGTTCTTTAACTTACTTTTGGTGGGAGGAGAAGTTATAGCTGAAATTTGAGAAGGGCGTGAAAAGTTGTAAGAGGCGCAAGGAAGAGGGGTAGGAACTTCCTTCAAATGTGATTTTAATAACTAGTCAAGTGTGTCCAACTGTAGAAAATCACCAAGTGACAATCTGTCTACCTGACAGTGATCACAATGAATTACAAGACTTTTGAATAGCTATACAGATTAGAATAAAGCAGGACCAAATAAAATATCTTTTGTTGGTAAAACTTTGACTTACCAGCTAAGATACTTAAAAAGAGAAACAAGAAAAACCCTTTATCTTGTGCTTTGATGTAGAACGTTTAAATTTGTAAAATATTTTATAACTTCTCATAAAATAGGTATTTATTTAAAAGTTTTATTTGAACATGTATTAAAGAATATGTGGTATTTTGTTAATCAGTTTGGTATGTATTATATAGTTTTCATGTGTGCAAGACAACTATATCTTAATTAACAGTACTATCACTAAAATCACAACTTTAATGAACTTCACAATCTGCAAACCATATTATGGTTTTAGACAATAATATCAACTGGAGGAAAAAATTGAAAAATCCCATTGAAGTTTTTATGTAGATTGTGAAATCGACCATTAAACCAACTATGTGCAGCAGTGTAGCATATTTAAAAATAAGATAATTGTCAGTGCTAACATTACTCTATTATTACTGCCATCACTTTTTTAAAAAATCATCTTCTTATGGTTGGTTTGGCAAAAAACAAATTTTAAACTTGAAGTAGTTCTACACTTACAGTTTTGGAAAAAGTATATACTTTTCTTTTTCAGTAAGGGTGAGATTTTTCAAGTTTTATTTTCCATAGCTCTTACATGTTTTTATTGTAATATAATACATTTTTAAAATATGATCTTACAGGATTTTACAAGGCAAAATTGGGACACCCACAGTACAGAAGTGAATAGAAAATATAAGATATTAATAGCTTCACAAATTTATGTTGCACATGCTTGTCAGTGGAAATTGTTTATTCTTCTCTACTTTCTCGTGGTTTGATTATTCCATCAGTTATAACTTAATATAAATACCAAAAGTTTTCCTAATTATAACCATAGAAATGTTTGCCTTGCTAGAATTGTCAGACAGGAAAATATATCTTTAAAACTTTAGAGAAGGTATAATAGCTCAGTAAGCTGTATTTTAGACTTTGGGACTTGTTTTCTGATACTGGTCCCTAATAAAGAGAAATTTTTATGGTGGTTAAAAATGAAAGAAATTTTAGGATTAAATAATTGCTTGCATGCATTGTAGTAGGATATTATTTTGTTTTATGATTGTGTGGCCTCCGGAAAGAAGAGAGGTGGAAAAATACAAGGTGCACAGGTAGACATTATATGTTTCTGATATTACAGATATGTAAATCTGTAGAATGTTAGGTCACATTTATTCCTTAATTGCTTATACGTTCTTGAATTCAAATAAATAAAAAATGCTCATTAAAGTGCAATTGTAAAAGAAAGAGAATCCAACAAAATAGGTTGTGAAATTTTAACTTCAGCTTCAAGGAGGCTATTTTCTCAAAATAGGTATTTAAATATTAATGTGGTTTGAAAGTGTACTTGTTATTTGATAATTTATTTCAATTATTTGGGGGGTTTTGAGAGATCTGAAGTCCTTTTTAAAAAATATAACCTTCGTAATCTTTATGTTACAATTTGGTCTTTTTATTCTTACAAATAATCTGTTTATTTACAAATAGGCAAACAATTTAAATAACTTTTTGTTGGAAAAAGTAGAACTATAGTCTTTTATAAAGAAATACTTTAGTGAATATGCAACTATATTAAATGACTTACTTTGAAATTTTACAGATTTTTTATGAATTGAGATGGTTTCTAAGGTTAAATTATGCTGCCTTCTTTGCTTTCAAAACAGGAAGGATATGGAGTAATAGTACTGAATCCCAATGAAAACTATATTGAAGTAGAAAAGCCAAAGATCCATGTACAGTCATCTTCTGATAGTTCAGATGAACCAGCAGAAAAACGGGAAAGAAAAGATAAAGTCTCTAAAGAAACAAAGAAGCGACGTGATTTCTATGAAAAGTATCGTAACCCCCAAAGAGAAAAAGAGATGATGCAGCTGTATATCAGAGTAAGTAATAAGATTATTACTTTCCTTCATTATTTCTTTTACTTTATTTGTATTTTATTTCACATATATTATTTTTTTAAAAAAACTTAATTCTTTAATTTTCAACCATTCATATCCCATGGTTGTTACTTGGATGAAATGTTTTGTTTTTTTATTAAATTACAAAACACGTCATTCTTATTTCAGTGCGATATTTTACTTAAGTTTCAAAAGCGATTAATAATGCACCATACAAAACATCAGTCTTCATCTTGGGTGGTAATGGTTTTAATACGTTCTTTTTCTATGAGCAACCATCCATCCACGGTGTTTCAGCTTAACTTCTGAAGGCAGATGGAGGGAGGAAGAGTAATTAATATCTTAATAAATATTTAAACTAGAATAGTTTAGGGCTAGTGTAATGAGGGAACTCTCTCCTTTGCTCTTTTCTTACCCACTGAACCTTTGCACTTTGTAATGCTAGCAGCATGCGATCGTTATAGCAGTGCTGCCCAAGGAGTTCTAATTCGTAGGGGGCACAAACAATTTTATTTGAACTTTGACACATTCTGCTTGATATACATACTGTGCTTGTATATATGAGGTAGATTTATGCAATTTTCAAAGCTTATGGGTCCTAGAAATAGAATTTAATAGTAAAACGTCAAAAATGCTACCGGGTAAGTAAAACAGTAAATTGATATGTTTTTTAAAAGTGAGCAATTCAGAACATTTAAACATAGACAAATTAACACTTTATAAATTATATTGTAGAATAATAGTAAAGTTTCAAATTAATCAGTTTGAGCTATTTTTACATTTCCTTTAAAAGCTTACTAATAAAATATTTCATACCATCTTTGAGGGGAATATATAACTTTCTAAGTTATTTTCTTCATTCTAGTTCATTGCATAATCACTATGCTTTTGGGAATTGCACTCCAAACATTCAAGACTGTAGGTCAGTTTGTTGAGTAAGTTAGGGCAGCTAAACAGTATGAAAGCAGCATGTAAATTCTCAAGACCCAAAAGGGTATCCAGACCAAGAATACCCAAAGCTCATCATACAGTGACTAAAGCAAAAGTTAGTGAGATTGTAGTATTTAAATTTCTGAAAAGCAACTCGCTATTTAATATATTTTTTGAAAAATAAAAACAGTGATTAGATTGGAATCAGTAAGTAGCTTGCTTGTTCTAATGTAGGTATATTACCATTTTTCCTTCCTATGGCTGCCTAAGTATCATGATGTCACTTTCTATATCAGTTTTCCTAAGCTTTTTAATTATATAATCCAGTCTGTCAACCACCATTCTTAGGACAGTTAAGAAAAAATTAATTCTGATATCCAGATTTCAAAAACGAATTGTAAAAGTTTTTAAGTATACAAATCATTAAGAAAATTCACTGGCTTATGTAAAATGTAAACAAAAAGTGATTTTACATATTTTTTTATTTCTTCTTAAAGTTTCTTTTATTAACCTATGATATATACAGATTATGCATCTATTTCTGACATCTGTTTTGTAGGTTTTATATCTTCTTTTCTATTTTCTCTTTCTCTTGTCACCACTGCATGGATATTTTGCTTTGTTCTCTTGTATGTGTACATTTTCTGTTTTCTGTTTTCAAATCTGTTTTATTTATCTCTGCCTCTGTTTTTCTTCTTATATCAAGGAAGAAAATTTTTTTTATTTTGCTTCATTTTTAAGATCTCTCTTTCCCTTTGTCTTTTTTCTTTCACTCTCTTATCTCTTTTACACTCCTGCCATTTCTGCTTTTTTCCTTATCATGTCTTTTTGCTTCTTTCTTTCTTGTCCCATTTCACTCATCAGTCTCAGTTCCCATTGAAAGCACTTAAAGCAAAAACAGACTCATTTAGATAATACAACTATATACCTGATAGTCTTAGTTATGAATGTCACTTTTCCTTAATAAATACCCTTTCTCTTAAAATCTTCTATAATTGTGCAAAATAGCAGAGTTAAGTTGGTACTCTTCAAACATACTTCTAGATAGTAAGGTGTGATCCGGTGGTTGAGAAAGAGAAGAATGATTCATGTTGTATAATGTGTCTTAATTCTTAGGTAATTTTGACCCACTCGAGAAGTGACTTCTTGTACTCTCCTTTCCAATACATGTCTCCAAAAAGTGTTTGTAATTTTCAGACACAGAGCATGGTATGTGATGGGGATAAATTAGCATTAATTTATATACTTCTTAACTATTTACATTTTGAAATTGATCATCTATTCTTTGGAACAATCCCATGAGGTAAGTGGATCAAATAGTTTTATCCTTATTTTATAGTTAAGGAAACTGATGCACAGATGGCTCATTTTTGTCTAGGATCAAATAACTAGTAAATGGTGGAACTAAGTGTTGAAACCAGGACTTCTAATTGTAGATTCTTTCTCCCTTTCCTCTTTATCACATTGTTCTAACCAGTTGGAAACAAAATATATATATGAAATATGAAAATTAAAACAATTATAATAAAAAGCATGATATAAAGTAAATGACATCTGATGATTAATAGATTTTTGATCAGTTATTTAATAGATGCTGTTAAATATCTATAAACAATTCATATATAATACATATTTAAAACATAAATAATAAATCACATAGATAGATTACATTATATGTATGTGTATACATACATAGTCTCTTTTAATAGGATCACTAATATTGATCCAGTTTTACATGAGAAGACCATGAGTCAAACTTAGTAATTTCCCCAAAGTCACGTAGCTCTTAATGTAAGCTCCATGAGAGCAGGGACTTAGTCTGCTTTGCTCACTGTTATATCCCCAGGGGTCAGAACAGAGTCTTCATAATAAATTTTTATTTGGTAAGTAAGGTGGTAGAGCCAAGATTAAAATCCCAAACTACTACTGTTTTTTTTTTTAAATATGTCCTGCATCATTAAAGTATGCTACTTGATTGTGAGAAAACTCATTCAAACAATCCAAAACAAACAAAAAATTACAATGTTGGTCCCCTACCCAGTCCAGTGGCTGAGAAAACATTACAAAAATTGATAATAAGAAGTCAGTTTCTCAAGATTTATTTAATACCTTGATCTATACCTTTTCATCTGAATATATAAAAGTGGGATATCCTGTTTTCTTTTTTAGCTCTATCATCAGGGTACTATATTTATGGGTCAAAATGGAAATGTTTCATGATGACCTACTGCTGTTTCCGTTTTGCAGCCTTGCTCATAAGAGTAGAGCCAGGCTGCTATACTTGTTCTTTGCTGTACACACTTTGTGCTTTATGTAACTTTGCTTCCTGTTCTTTTCCTTCATCCAAATTCTATCCATGTTGTAGTGCCCAGCTGAAATCTCACCTTTTCATATCACCATAATCAGTGACCTCTCCTTACAGTGACTCATGGAAGTTAACTGTGATTGGTTTACTTATATGGAATTTATCATTTGCTGTCCTGAGATATCTCTTGTGTTTTTGTTTCATAATATTATTAATATTTATCTTTCATGCCTTTCCACTCCCCATAATATTATAGGTCTTTGAGCATACTTTATCAGTCATTCCTTAAGAATAAACAGAAATGAGCCAATTTTTACAATAGTACAGAGCATACTATGAGGAGTCAGGAACTGATAATAAACCCACTCACTAGAATCCAATCCCCTGCAAGGAGACCAAAGCAAAAAGACTAGGCCTTAGTCTAAAGATAGCTAGATAATGTGACCTGCAGCATAGAAATGAGGGTTATTCTGGTATCAAACTGGAGCATAAGAGGACAAGTACTCAGACTAAGGAAGATCATTTAAAAGCACTTTACAGTATGTAGGTGGAATATAGGCAAAAGTGACTTGATGCTGATATATGTAATACTGAGTTGGAACTGCTTAAATATCTCTTCCCTAAGAGACTTAATTGTGGGCTGTGGTGATAGGAAGTAAATAAGAGAGATTAGACTCAGAAGGTTGAAAAAAAAAAATGCTGCGAGGGGAAGGGGGAAGGAAATTACATGGCCACAGAAGGAAAAATCCAAATGTGGAGGAGACATTTACAGAATAAGAATCTTGGCAAAGCCTGGCATTACACACTGAAGATACTCAAATATTTATGGCTTGATTGCTTGTTGACATCCATCAAAAATCTTATCCCTTAACATGAGAGATATTTGGTGTCTAGTTTTCTGACGGATTTTTTCAGCATTTATGTGAATTTTTGCAATTGTTCAGAAACAGCCAACTGATAAACTGAAGCTTTCTTTCAAAAAATATGTTTTTGATGCTCTGACTTGGATTATGTTCAGAATACTGCTGAAGGCTAATAAATATCCCATCTTCTTCTCTGAACCTGTTCTCTTCTGTGCTAGGGCCACTGGAGTCATTTCTATCTAGTGTTTTAGCAACCAAATTTTAATTTATTTATATTACAGTCAATGAATGTCTAATCTCTGGAACTATTTTATTTTCCTTGTATATTTAAGTATTTGAATTTTCTTTTTTTCTGGAATCTGTTAAAAAGCCAAAATCTTTCAAATTTTGTAAATATCCATTATAGACAGGCAGAAATAAAGTAGAATCCAGGCCTAAAACTTTAAGATTAGCAAAGCGTAGTTTTATTTTACATACTAAATGAGTATAAATAGATATGACTAACTATTGGATTATGTCGCACGTTTCGATGCATTAGAAGCAGAGCTTGAGAGATCAAAGTACTTACTGTTTCATGTGGCAACTTTCCTTAAGTATGAAATAATGTACTTTCTGGCATATATTATGGCTTATTAAGGGGATTGATTTGGTCTAGGCAATAAACATCATGTCAGACATGCCTGGCAGGAAAACCTGCTTAATATGTTTTGTAATAAGATGGAATTTTTTGTTCTCAAAAACATCTGCCAACTGAATTCAAGAGTGAAGACAGAAAATGTCATCAATTTAGTGGTAATCCTATAAATTTAGTTTCTTTCTGAGCAACACATAGCAAGACACACAAAATTCCCAGTGTTAATCACCACTGGTTATAGTACTTTGTA